TCTATCTATCTATCTATCTATCTATCTATCTATCTATCTATCTATCTATCTATCTATCTCATTTTTAGTTGAGAGGGTCTTATCATGAAGTCCTAGATGCCCTGGATCTTGACATGTAGACCAGGCTAGCCTTAAACTTGTATTCCTATTGCTTCTGCATCCTGACGGCTGGAATAGAGGCACATGGTACAAGCCGGTTCATAGTATTTTATATGTGTGTTTATCTACTCAACAAATCTTTGTGTTTTTTGTCTGTGTGCACTGTTGTCACAGCATGACATGCGACAGCAAGACTGTCAAGGAATAGGTCCGTGTCTTTAATTTTACATGTAAAAGTAAACATGTATTGTGTGCATACCCTTCATATTATGCCAATGGAAGTCAGAGGACAGCTTTTTGAAAATTGATTCTCATTTGCTTTGTGGTTCTGGGTATTGAACTCAGGTGGTTAGGCTTGGTGGCAAGTGCTACCCCACTGAAGCATCATGCCAGTCCCTTTCATTTTTACTATAAACAAGTGGGCCATATGAGTTAATTACAGTAGAAATGTTGTTTTCCGTTTTTTCTTACAGTCTGCTCCTTAAGCAAGTACAAAATTTGAGATTAGAATGCATGGGCCTGGAAAACCAAATTAAAAGGTAAGTGACTTTTAGAGCTGAAATTTACCTTACACAAAGGTTAGAGCTTGAATTTTACAAGTGATAAAACTCCTAAAAATGGAAATAGAATAATATGTCATTATTTTGTTGATGCTAGGACTAGAACATAATTCTTTTTCCTCATTTTTAATAAAATTCTAAAAAATGATTGCTTTGAGTTTGAGGTCTTTGTTTTTGAGATAGGCTCTCATTAGGTGTGTAGCCGTGGCTGGTCTGGGGCTTTATATAGATCAGGCTGACCTTCAGCTGATAGAGATCCGCCCGCCTCTGCCCCCTGGGCATGAGCATCAGAGCCGAGCACCACCACACTCAGTTGACAGCTTAGGTGGTGTTAGTATTTTTTAACGGAAATGTCTGTCTGTAGACTGGCAGACCAATCGGTTTCTAGGATGTAAAATTACCATGCGATTTTTTTTTTTATGACTAATTCAATTGTTTACTTATTTATTAGAATGGAGCCCTGTGATGACCAGAGTAATATACAACAGAAAATTGAAAAGGTGAGACACTTTTTTTTTTTAATAGCACAGGATTGCTTTATTGTGAATGTCTCTGTAGGGTATTATTGTTAGCATTTTTCTAGATGAGTATATTTCAGAAACCTGACAGTGTAATTCCAAGTGAGAAGCAGCAACAGAGAACATATGTAACAACTTTAGTTTTGTTTAAAAATTTAGTTTACAAATATGCACCCACACATGGGAGATAACAAAACATTAATGGTAGGGCATTGATGGAATGATTTTTTTTCTTGTATTTTTTAAGTTTTCTGAAATGAACCTGTAGCATATAAGCGCAAAATGTTACTTTAAAAAACAAAGGAAACAGACCTGGTCCTGTAATCCCAGCACTCTGGAAGGTAGAGGCAGGCAGATCTTTTTAATTTCAAGGTCAGCTTGGTCTACAAGGTAAGTCCAGGACAGCCAAGGCTATACAGAGACACTGTCTTGAAAATACAAAACAAGTAAATAAACAAAGAAAGACAAAGGAAAGAGCAGGAGAGACGGCTCATTGGTGAAAAGCTCTTCTGGAGGACCTAGGTTTGCTTCCCAGGACCCACATAGCTCCTCACAGTCATCTGGAACTCCAGCCCCAGGATACCTGAGGTCCTTTTCCAGCCTTAGGTAGCAGTGGATGGGTATGGTACACAGACATGTGCAGACAAAATATGTGCACATAAAAAATATTAAAAATTAAATAGAAAAAATATTATTTAAAAAAATATTCCATTGCTTTCAAAGGAAGCTAAGTCCATAATGTTTACACTCATTTTACCATCACTGTGAAAAGGAAAGATGTGACTGTCTCTTACTTGTGGTTTTGTGAGTTTGTTTTTTTTTTTTTCCCTGACTGAGTCCTGCTTGTTTACTTCATCTTTCATTTGTTTTGTTATGTTTTTTCTTTTCTTTTCTTTTTTTTTTTTTTTTTGAGACAGGGTCAGGATAGCCCTGTCTATTTTGGAACTCACTATATAGACCCGACTGCCTAGAACTCAGATCTGTCTGCCTCTGCCTCCTGATGCTGGGCTGAAAGGCATGGGCCAACATGTCTGACATTTATTTCTTCATTTTTGAGTTTGCCATTTAACAATTTTTGAATGGTAGTGTAAAGACACTTCGTGTTTGTTTGAAAATTGTAGAAGCTGTATTTTCCCTAAGAAATTCCTTAGTTCAGCTCTGGCGGCACAAGACTTTAATCCTAGCATTTGAGATGTAGAGAGACAGGCTGCTCTTGGAGTTCTGTTTTAGTGTGGTCTAAGCCAATTTTTTGCCAGCCTGCGTTATGTGGCAAGACCCTGTCTCAAGCCCCTTCCCCCAAAGACGAAAAAAAAATCAAGAAAAAAAGTTTCTCAAGCTCCTTTGGAGACAATATCTGTATTTAAACAGACTACAGTTATTTAATTTTTGCATCTGCTATATTTCATTCGTTATTAGGGTTGAACCAATATTTATGCCAATGTTTTCTTAGTATATGTTATGTGTGGATTTTATATTGTTTTGTTTTCAAAGGTTCGGGCTTTGTGGACTTCAGTGAAGGGGATGTTCATGCATTTGGAAAAGGAGAGAGACGTTGACATTAGCCCAGTCTTCAGTTTTGTTAACCAGTGTGTTCTGGATGGAAGTAATGTTGCTGTTAATATTCCAAGGCTCTTACTTGACAGACTTGAGACCCAGATGTGTCAGGTAAGCTTTGCTGTTAAAGAAACGTGTTAAAACAGTGTCACTGCTTTTTCCATTGTCATCTCCATGATTCCCCACTGCTTCCAGTATTTGTGTTTTTCATTATCTCTAGTGAACTCTTCATAGAGGCACTTCAAAAGTGTGTAGCCTGGATCTATTTGCTTTTGTTATCTCTTCTACCTTTACAGTTTAATATAGAAAGCTTAAGATTGCTTAGTATGAAGATAGTACTGTTTTTTGTGTGTGTATGTATGTACCACATGTGTACCTGGTACCTATAGATGCCAGAAGAGGGCTGCATCTGGTACGTTAAACATGGATGGAGTTAGAGACGATTGATTGTAAGCTGTCATGTGGGTCAGAACTGAGCCCAAGACCTACAGGAGCACCAAGTGTTCTTAACTGCTAAGCCATTTCTCCAGCCCAGCTATTTATTTTTTTCCATCTATTTGTATTTCGTTTCTGCTAGATTTTAGCCTTTGTATGATAGAAAATTATGTGTGAATTCTTTGACAATTTTTATAAGATTGAAATTATTTACATAGTTTTATGTGTGGGTGTTGATTGAGTCCCTCCTTCTTTAAGATAATATATAATAGTAAAAAACTTAAATAAGAACCTACTCATCTTTTCTTTTTTCCTTTTCTGAATGTAGTTGCAGATAGGAAATGTTTATGAGGCTGGAAAATTGAATTTCTTAACAATTATTCAGTTGTTAAATGAAGTCCTGAAGGTAATGAACTATGATCATTGTAAGGCTGACCGAGAAAGACTGACAATAGACCTTCACTACTTTGAAAAAGAAACCAAATTTCAGAGGGAAAGATTATCGGATATGAAGCATATGAGGTACACAGAAAGATCTTTTGTAATTTTACTGTAGAGTGGATAAGGTGGTTTCTCCAGCAGAAGTTATGTATAATTCTTCAATTTTGGGGAATAAGTTAAGACATACTGGTTTCCAAAAGCCTTATGTAATGAATTTCCAGAGAGACATGGGAGGTAAAGGGACAAGTAATATAGGGTTTTTGTTTGCTTGGTTGGTTGTTTTTTGGTTTTTTCAAGACAAGGTTTCTCTGTGTGGCCTTGGCTGTCCTGGACTCACTTTGTAGACAGTGCTGACCTCGAACTCACAGAGATCTACCTGCCTCTGCTTCCCTGAGAACTGGGATCACAGGCATGTGCCACCATGCCCAGTTTTTATCTTGTTTGGAACAAACTATTTGCCTTATGATAATTCTTTTTGTTTTTGAGACAAGAGTCTCACTTTGTAGGCCTGGCCTATGTGGAACAGTCTGACCTTGAATTTATACATTGTGGTACATGCCTGGAATCTTAGTACTTGGGAGGCTAAGGTCGAAATACTGTGAATTTGGAGCCAGCCTGCTCTGTACAGTGAGATTCCATGAAATTTTTCTAATTTCTTTTCCTTTTTTGTTTTTTGAGACAGGGTTTCTCTGTGCAGCCCTGTCTGTCCTGGAACTCACTCTGTAGATCCGGCTGGCCTTGAACTCACAGGGATATACCTGCCTTGCTTTCTGAGTGCTCTGATTAAAGGTTTGCGCTAACACTGCCTGGCAAGAAAAGTTTCTCTGTTGAGCAGGGAGACCAGGAGCTTGGGCTTCTTTTAGAAGTTGATAGAGAATGTGTAGAATTCAGACTGAAGATAAGAGCTGGCAAAAAAGAAAAAATGCCAGGCCTGGTGCCAAAAGCCTATAATCCCAGCACATGGGAGACAGAGGCAGGAGGATGTTGAGTTCAAGGTTATCTGCTAAGTATCCTAGGCCAGCCTGTACTGTACATAACCTTGTCTTCCCTCCCCCCAAAAAAGTTTGTTTTTACAATAAGTAAGTAGAGTAGTAGATGTATGATTGCTTTTTTTGTTTTTAAAGGAGAAAAAGTACATTTTAAATTCTGAAAAATCACTTGTGAGAGTTAAGTTTATATGTAGTTTAATGGTTAATCTTTGTTTTATATCCTTCTCTGCCCTAGTACTATTGTCTTAAATTGTGCATTATTTTATTTGTTCTTCAAATACAGTTATTTCTTATGATATCATAGGCATAAAATAAAAGAGAACATCACTGCAATAAAACATTCTATTGCTGAAAAGGAAGGACAATGGCATACGAAGTGGAAAGGAATGCTTGGTCTGTCTCCTTTTCGTCTGTTTAAAGGCGGGGCTTCAGTAAGTAATGTAGACTTGTATTTGGAGAAGAGTTTTGGCAGTTCTCTCTGTCTTTTAAGTTTTAAGTCTTTTAATTTATAATGTTACAGTAACCTAGGAATGTTATGTATGTGTATATATTTGTTGTGTTTACATTGAAGTCTAAGCTTTTTTTTAAATAATTGTGTATTGTGTGTAGCAGCACGTATGTGTCATGGTGCACATGTAGAGGGTACAGGATGATTTTGTGGAGTTAGTTCTTTCCATCCACTTTAACCTGTGTTTCTGGCATTGAACTCAGGCCCTTAGTCTTGCCAGGCAAGTGTTTTTATCTGCTGAGCCATTTCATCAGCCCAAGTTATTTTGTTGTTTTGAGACAGTTTCTTGTACCTCAGGTTGGCTTTAAACTTGATATATAGCTGATTATGAATATGAACTGCTGATCTTCTGAATCTGCTTCCACATACTAGGATTGTAAGCCTGTGCCACCATGCTTGGCCCAGTGGCTTTTTCCACACAGGTACCTGTTGTGTAGATGCGTGTGCTGGGCTGAACTGGAATGCACATAGCCAGAACACTAGGATTATTGATGTGTGCTACTGTGCAGTTCAGATGTTTTAATTTCTGTAAGTTTCCTAAGTACATAATAGTTTTTCATTGAGCTATTGTCATTTATAGTTACTCATTTTAAATTCAGAGGCTAAAAAAAATACTAGTAAGTAAAATTTGAAACTTGCTTAAGTAAATTCTGTATTCTTTGATTTTTAAAAAAGTGTTTGCAGGCGCTGGAAAGTTGGCTCATCAGTTACGCTCATTGGCTGCTCTGCTAGAGAACCCATGTTTGATTTTCTAGCATCCACATTGTGGTTAATAACCAGCTAAAACTCCAATCCTTGGCTGTCTGATGTCCTTTTCCGGCTGTGGGTACCAGGAATACACATAGTGCACAGACTCATGCATATACACATTCATATACATACAAGTAAAGAAAAAAATAGTCACAGGATAAATGTTTGGTAATTCATTGTTAGGGAGAAAATGCATTTGTAGATGACCTTAGCTTTGTCATTGTGCTTGTTAGTGAGTGTGTTTATTTTAATGTTGTGAATTCTGTGTTTTAAGGCTGTGGATCTTTTGCCTCCCATGTCTCCCCTTTCATTTGATCCTGTGTCAGAGGAAGTATATGCAAAGAGTATACTTCTTAAGTATCCTGCTTCACTTCCAGGTTGGTAAGCTCTCCCCATTCCGTTTTAAAGACAGTATCTCATTGTGAAGCATTGACTGAGCTGGAACTTGTAAACCAGGCTGGCCCAGTACTCGGAGCTGTTCTGCCTCTGTTTCCTGCGTGCTTGGGAGTACAGGTCTGCACTACTGCACTTGGCTTATTTCTCATTGTTTATAAGAGTTATTTATATTTTTCTATATTTTTTACATTTATGTGTTTGTGCATGTGTATGCTACAGTGTATGTGTGGCGGTCACAGGACAACTTGGTTCTCTTTTTTTTTACCATGTGGTGTACCCTAGGATCAAACTCAGGTAATCAGGCTTGGTGGCAAGTGCCGTTACTCAATAATCCATCTTGCCTGCTCTCTAGTTATTTTTATGGTGAAATGTATAGCACATAAAATTACTATTTTGGGGATAAACATGTCCTGGAAAAAAGGATAGAATCCTATCATTTGCAAAACATGAATGTTTCAGCTTCTTTGACAGCTGGGATTACAGTTGTGAGCCACCAAACCTGGCCTTTACTTGGTATTGAACGATAGTTGGCCTGGATTTAGAATCCTAGGTTGACAAATCTTTAGGACTTTACTTTGATGGTAAAGTTTGGTTTTCTGCCTTAAGTTTGAGAATTTGTTTTTTTATGTCTTCTCTAATATTACTTGTCTTTCTTTTGTTTTTTAAATTTTTTTTCTTCACCATTTATTCATAATATATCCCGATTGAAGCCTCCTCCCTCAACTCTCCCAGTCCCACTCTCTCTCCCATTTCCCCTTATCCCCTTCCCCTAATCCAGTGAAAGGGGGAGTTCTCTACTATTGCCATCTGCCCATAGCTTGTTAAGTCTCCTCAGGACTGCTTGGATCCTCTTCCTCTGTGGCCTGGCAAGGCTGCATCACCAGGGGTGAATGATCAGAGAGCAGTCAACCGAGTTCATGATAGAGGCAGCCCCTGCTCCCCTCACTCAGAGATCCACATGGAGACTGAGCTGCCAGTCAGGCACATCTGAGCAGGAGTCAAGGTCTTCTCCATGCATGGTCCTTGGTTGGTACATCAGTCTCTGCAGGACACCCTGGGCTCAAATCTTTTAGTTTTGTTGGTCTCCTTTTGGGGCTCTTGTCCCCTCCATGTCCCTCTAATCCAGTCCTCTCTTCCTCCATAAGACTCCCTGCACTCTGCCCAAAGTTTGGCCCTGAGTCTCAGCATCTGCTTTGATCCCTTTGGGTAACTCCTTTGAGAGTACCCTCTATAGTAAACTCGCATCCTTTTTCCTCTCTTCCACTGCTTCTAGTGTCTATCCTGTTTGACATTCTGAAGTCTTTCATTTTTAAAAAGATTTTGTAAAGTGTGTGCGTGTGTATGAACATGTGTATGTGGTTGTCAGTAGAGGACAGCAGAGGTGTCAAATACCCAAGAGCTAGAGTTAAGACATTTGTGAGCTGCCTGATGTAGCTGCTTTGAGCCAGATTCTGGTCCTGTAAGAGCAATAAGCACTTTCACCTGCTGAGCCATCTCCAGCTTCATATTTCATTTTAAAATTCTTTCCTTCTGGAACTCCTATTAGGATTCTGTTTTGTGATGGTTATTGAACATTTTGTTTTAGCAGTACCTAACTTGTATGCCAAGCCAGCCTCAAACTTGAGATTTTTTGCCTCAGCCTCAGAAGTGCTGAGATTACAGGTGTGTGTCACCATGAGTGCCGAGGATTTCTAATTTTGTCCTCCATCTCTGTTAAGTTCTCATTTGTATATACAGATTCTTCAGTTCTTGAACTTTGTTAATGGCTGTTTTCCTTAGATCTCTTTTATAGCTCACTACTTACTTTTAGTTAGGTTTAATCTGTCTTTTCAACGTATTTTAACACTTAGTATTCATTACAGTTTCACTTTCAGAAGTCCTATTTACTGCCCTTTTTCTGTCTTCTTAGTTTTTGATTACTTTGCTGTGTGTATGCGCACATGCACGCATAGTACAGTACAGGAGTTGGTTCTGTCCTCTCAAGTGGAGCCTGGAGTTGAAGATGGAACTTAGTCAGCAGATATTTTTCCTGCTGAGCCATCTTGTCAGCCTGCTCTTTCTTAGTCTTGTATGGCTCAGGCTGGCCATGAATTCAAATAGCTGAGATGACCTTGAACTTGTGATCTTCCTGCTTCCATCTAAGTAATTAGATTACAGGCATAGGTATTATAGAGTGCTGTAAACGGAGCTGGGGCGTTCTGATGTTGTAGGCAGTCACTGCAACTGAGTTATGTCTCCAGACTTATTTACTTTCATAGTCTAAATCTCATACTCCCCCCACTACCAGGATTTATCTGTATAGCTCACTTTATTTATCTGTACAGCTATATCTGTATAGCTCACTTCTCTGTATAGACCAGGCTAGCCTTGAACTCACAGATCCGCCTGTCTCTGCCTCCCAAGTGCTGGAATTGAAGGCGTGTCATGTGCTACCCTGCCCAGCTTGCTTATACCATTTTTTCCTTTTTTTTTTTTTCCCTTCAGTTTTTGTATCTTAGGTATTTTTACAACTATGCTTTCTTTTTGATTCTCAGGGTTGTTTGCTTCTTATTGAAATTCTTGGTTGTAGTTCTACCTTTAGTGGGTCTTACCACATGGAGGAGCTTATGCTGACCTGGAACTCACTATCTAGCATAAGCTAATCTTGAACTCAGCTTTCTTTCTTTTTTAATTTTTTTTTTTTTTGTTTGTTTTTTTCAAGACAGGACCTCTCTGTATAACCTTGGCTGTCCTGGATTCACTTTGTATACCAGGCTGGCCACAAACTGATCCACCTGCCTCTACCTCCTCCTCCCGAGTGCTGGGACAATGGGACCGACCACAGGTGTGCTCCACTGCCTGGCAATTATGAACCTTTTTTTTTTTGTATGCTAAACAGAGAAGTTTCAGCTCTGCCTACCAACAACTGGTGATATTTATAGTTGTGTATAGTAATTTGTTTTTATGGTGCTCTACTTTTGTGATATTTGTGTTGCTCTCATTTGGAGAATGTTTTGTGATTCCATAATAATCAATAGGTGTAGAGGGTTTTGAGAAGGTGCAGTTGGCACCAGCCAGTGGTGGTGCATGCCTTTAATCCCAGCACTCAGAAGGCAGAGGCAGGCAGATTTGAGGCCAGCTTGGTCCTCAGAGTGAGTTCCAGGACAGCCAGAGTTCACAGAGAAAGCCTGTTTCTAACAAAAAGAACAAAGGTTGAGCTGGCATAGTACTCTCACTACTATAATGGATGACTGTCTTTTCACAGCGTTTCCACTTCTTATGCAGTGGTGCCTTAGCTAAGTGTTCAAATTTGGGAAGACTTTTAGGTGTTAACCTGTTGAAAAAGGAGGGTTCTCTAATCTATAATGTAGCCATGGCTTCATTTACCAGTCTCCTTTCTTGTCATGTCTTGGTGATGTATATTTCCTACTCAAATGCCATAAGCCATGCCTCCTGTGTTTTGGCGAATGAAATCTGTTCCTACTCTCTCGGTGACTTTATGTCTTTCCATTCTTTCACTGGGACTGGTGTATGTCTTCTGCCTCCTTCTATACTTCTGGCATCCTAATGTAACAGAGCAGAGCACTGCAGTCACCTCTATCCTAGACTGACTGCTGATGTCAAGGTCTCTTTGCTGTGTTAGTATGGTCGTGGCACATAATTGTTTCATAGGTTGGTATAGGCTGATTGATGTCCTAAGTGTATTGAAATATGGTAAGTACATTTTTTCTTTGCTTATAATTGTTAGCACATGATTTATTTACTTAAAAATGAAACATGGGGGCTGGAGAGATGGCTCAGAGGTTAAGAAGAGCACTGGCTGTTCTTCTAGAGGTGCTGAGTTCAGTTCCCAGCAACCACATGGTGGCTCACAACCATCAGTTCCCTCTTCTAGCATGTAGGTATATATGTAGGCAAAAGTGTGTACATAATAAATACATCTGTAAAAAAAAAAAAAAAAAAGAAATATGGTTATATAACACTGAATGTGGTGCTGATGATCAAACTCAGGGCCATGTACATATGTCATCTCCCCCCACCTTGTTTTGTTTTGTTTTGTTTTGTTGTGTTTTTATGGTTTTGAGACAGGGTCTCAAACTCTCAGTGTAGCAGAAGCTGGCCTTGAATTCCTGCCTTTGCCTTCCAAGTGCTGGAACTGTGGAAGTCCAGCACCATGAATGGTATATCAGTCTTTGTAAAAGCCTGCTACCACATAATCTGTTAATTCTTTGTTACTTTATCTTGACAATTCGGTGGATTTTCTTCCCCCTATTTTATGTGTGTGTGCTCACTACAAAGTGCACGTGGGAGTTAGTGTTCTCCTCCCTGTGAACTAGGGAGCTAATTCAGATTGTCAGGATTGGTGGCTTGCACCCTTAACTGCCGAGCCAACTCTCACCGGCTCTCTATGGGTTTATAAGAAACCTTGTCCTGTGTGGTAGCTGTAGGTGTGTGTGTGTCTGGCAGGGTCTCTTGCTTTTTTACAAGTTTGCAAGGCCGATTGACCTGCAGTCTTCCAGTTTCTCTGTCTCTGCCTCCCATTTCCTGTCGGGGTTCTGGGATTATGGCTGTGTTGATCTCAAGTCATCAGGTGTTTGTTTTTTTTTTTTATTATTATTTTTTATTTTTAAATAATTTTATACATTCACTTGTATCCCAGCTGTAGCCCTCTCCTTCTTTCCCTCCCAATCCTCCCCTCCTTCCCTCCCTCCTCTCCTCCCTGGCCCTTTCCGAGTCCACTGAGAGGGGGTGTCCTCCTCTCCTTCCATCTGGCCCTAGATTATCAGGTATCTTCAGGATATGTCCTTATCTGTGGTCTATCAAGGCTGCTCCTCCCTTGGGGAGAGGAGAAGCTCATGAGTTCATGTCAGAAAGAATTCCTGTCCCCCTTACTAGGGAACCCATTTGGATACTGAGCTACGATGGGCTATGTCTGAGCAGGGGTTGTAGGTTATATCCATGCATGATCCTCGGTTGGATAAACAGTCTCATAGAAGACCCCCATGCTCAGATATATTTGGACCTTGTGGGGCTCCCTGTCCCCTCTAGGATATACTAATTTCTCCTTCCTTCATATGATTCCTTACACTCTGCTGAAGGCTTGGTTATGGGTCTCAGCTTCTGCTTTGATACACTGCTAAAGTCATCAGATTTGAATGGCAAGTTGCTTTTACTCACTGAGCCATTCTTTTGTCTCATTACTTTTGTTTATAATCTTTCTGTTTTTTGTGTAGAAGCTGTTATAAACAATTGGGTGTGAAGTTCAATGATAGAGTACTTGTGTAATGCTAGCAAAGCCTGTGAACAGAGCTTGGTTTTAGGTGGAAAAAAATAGGTGTAGTCATTTCTAGAGGCCCTTGACTTATTAGACTACACAAACATAATTAAAATAATAAATTTTGTACTTTCTTAGATACACATAAAGAGCATAACCAAGAAAATGGTAACAGAAAAGAAGCTGAGACCCTAGGAAGTGTGTGTGATCTAGCCAACAGGTAAAACATTTGACTTTCATGCCAACTTGACTCTAGTCTCATCTTGAGCCAGTTTAGAACTTTGTACTATGGAATAGTGCATAATTTCTTCCTCTCAACCAAGCTGTTTCCTACTGCAGACCCACATTTGCAGGAGATGTTCAATATTTACTATATTACTATATCTGAATATTGGGTTTTATGGGTATTATCTGAGTTTTGAAGAAAGTGCAGTTTTGGAAACTATATAAGGTAAGTTTGGAAATTTTTGCTCTTTTAAAAAATATTTATGTATATGAGTGCTTTGCTTGCATTATACCTACATGACAGAAGAGGACATCAGATCCCATTATAGATAGTTATGAGCCACCATGTAGTTGCTGGGAGTTGAACTCAAGACCTTTGGACGAGCATCCATTGCTCTTAACCACTGAGACATCTTTTCAGCCCTTTTGCCATTTTCTATGTATGTGAATCATTTTAAAATCACTCTTAGCTGGGCAGTGGTGGTGCATTCCTGTAATCCCAGCACTTGGGGAAGCATAGACTGGGTGATCTTTGTGAATTCAAGGCTGGCCTGTCCTACGAAGTGAGTTCCAGGACTGCCAAGACTACACAAAGAAACCCTGTCTCAGGGGGAAAAAATTACTTTTTAACTATAGAGTCTAGATTTGGGGGGCAATTGAGGTCATCTGGTTTGGTGGGGAACTTTGAGTCTAGTACTTTCTATTGCTATAGCTCAGTCTCATTTAGCTTTCAGTTCGTCTACCCTTTTCCTGCTTTAGCCTGCACTGCTTGCTCTTTTCATCTATATTACAGATTTTTAAAAGAAAATTATTTATGTGTATGAGTGCTTTACTTGGGTGTATGTAAGTGCAGTGCCAGGTGCCTGTGGAGGCCAGAAGAGGGTGCTAGATCCCCTAGAACTGGAGTGATGGTAACATTGTATGTGCTAGTAACCACAGCACATGTGTTTTGAGACAGGGTTTCATTTGTGTAGCTCTGGCTGTTCTTCAACTCAAGCTGGCCTTGAGCTCACAGACTCTGTGTCTTGAGTGCTGAGATTCAAAATGTGCACCATTACGCCCACCTTATAATGAACTTTTTGATATTGTGGTTTTTTTTTTTTTTTTTTGAGATAGGTTTCTCTGAGTAGCCTTGGCTGTCCTGGACACTCTTTGTAGACCAGTCTGTCCCCGAATTCACAGAGATCCACCTGCCTCTGCTTCCCAAGTGCTGGGAATAAAGGCGTGCTCCACCATGCCCAGCTTTTGACATTTTATAAAGAGTTACATTCTTTAGAAAAAATACTAGAAGATACCTGATTTACTCTAATGCCAAATTTAACATGAAAGACTCAAACTTACTTTGTTACCACTTCTTTCAGGCATTCTATTTTCTTTATTACCTGTTTTCTGTTACCCAATTTTAGCTCTTATCAGTGAGATAGCTTTGTTTACTATCAAAACTAAGGACCTGAGTTCAGTCCTGATCCTTCAGACCCATATAGTGGAAAGAGAGAACTGACTCCCGACTTCACATGTGTGCTGTGCTCCACCCCCAGTAAATAAAAAATAAAAAAGTCCAAAACTCTGAAATAAATGTAATCCACATGGGTAGTATATATTTTATTGCAAGTAAGAATCATTCTATAACAATGAAACAGGCATACTGAATAGATCCTTGGGTTTATGTATACAACTGTGGCGTGTGCTTGTGTGTGCATGCCTGCATATGTGGAGGACTAAAGTCATAATCAGGTGTCTTCTTATATTACTCCCGCCTCACATTATTTCTGTGTTGATGGCTGAGTGCTTGTGTGGGGTTAGAGTGACAACCTGTGTGAGTTGGTTCAGTATTTCCTGTTACAGTGTGGGTTCCAGGGTGCTTACTTAGATTGTCAGGCTTGGCAACAAATGCTGAGCCATCTTGCCAGTTACCAGCTATTACATTTTTAAAAGATTTGTTTTATATGTTTATGGGTGTGTGCATGTGAGTGCAGGTGCCTGTGGCATTCAGAAGAGGGTGTCAGATCTTCTGGAGTTGAGTATGCTAGTGATTGAGTTTGGGTCCCCTGCAAGAGTAGCACCTCCTCTGAAGCTTGGGGCCATCGCTCCAGTGCCACCATGTATCATTATTTGATGTTTGGCTTATGTTGGCTCCTTTTACTACAACTTTCCCATGGAAAAGAGGGACAGATATGAAAATATATTACCTATGGAAAATTTGAAGGAAAGATTACTTGAAGATTATATGGATTGAGTATAATATTTAGTTAAAAACCATGAAAAGAGTACAGTTTTAAGCTGGGTAGTGGTGGTGCTTGCCTTTAATCCCAGCACTCGGGAGGCAGAAGCAGGCAGATCTCTGAGTTTGAGGCTAGCCTGGTCTACAGAGTGAATTCCAGGACAGCCAGGACTATAGAGGAAAAACCCTGTCTTGGAGGTAGAGGGGAAGAGTACAGTTTTTTAGAGTATATTATTAGCCCTTTCACAGGTAGTTGTCATTTCAGGTAATCAAAACACCCTAAGCCTTATTGCTGGTTTTGATTGGAGTAAGCTGATGGAGATAGCATTGTACTTCAAACCAACATTCAGCAGTAGTAGGTCATTTCTTTCCTGTTCTTTGTGACTGCTTTATAGCAGTTTTGCAAAATTTCCAAATGTATAGTGGTAATGCTGTTTTATTGATTTTTTTTGTTGTTGTTGTTGTTGACATTTTTGCTTTTTAAATCTCTGCCCTGTAGTTCACTATGTAGACCAGGCTGACCTTGACTTCATAGAGCTATACCTGCTTCTTACTTCCTGGGTGCTGGGTAAAAGGCATGTGCTACCACACCCAACATTTCTCAACTCGTTATTTCTGTTCTCCTTTTTATTTATTTTACATCCTTTCTAAACTTGCATGTAAAATACTGCATTTCAGTCTGGTCTTTTTATTTTAAATTAGAATATATTAACTATACATGATAGCTTATTATATATTCAAATATCATCTTTAAAATATTTTATTAGTTCTTTGAGAATTTAATGCAGTCTATTTTGATCTTATTCACCCTCCAACTCCTTTCAGATCTACTTTTAACCTTCTGCCCACACAACTTCAAGGCTTTGCCTCTAGTTGCTGGGGACAACGTTGTACCTCTAATAATTAGTTTGCTTTCCATAGTATTTTATTATTATTGTGTGTATGGGTATGATATGGGAGTTGTGTGCACATGCCATTATGTACACATGAAGGTTAGAGAACTTGGGTCCTCTGAAAGAGCAACAGGTGCTCTTGACCACTGTGCTATTTCTCCAGGCACCACCTCCCTCCAAAAAAAAAAAAAAAAAGAAAGATCAAACAACGAAAAAACAAAAACTAAGCCCACTTACATACCTCTTACTGGCCTGGAACTCAGTGGGCTACATTCAAGACTGTCTCTCTAGGAGGAAAACCCACCAGATTAATTAGCAAAGTGTTTACTTGTATTCTGTTTCTGAAAAGTAAGCAAAGTGCTTGCTTTTGGCAGTAGTCTCTGGTTTCTTTTCTTTTTTTTTTTCAGTCAAAAAAATAAAGAGAAAAAATTTGATTTTAGAATTTAAAAGGTCTTTTGAAATTAAGATGAGAGTTACTTTTTGTTTTGCTACAGGGTCTTGTGTAAGGCAGGCTGGATGGTATAAACTTACCTTGAACTACTTTTTTATTTTATTTTTTATGTGTATAAGTGTGTGTGTTGTGTGTACATGGGCCATGGTATACATGTGATGACTGTGTGTGTGGTTGGTAGATAACTGTGTGGCTGGTTCTCTCCTACCTTTGTTTAGGTTCTAGGTATCAAATTTAGGCTATCAAGTTGCATTGATGGCCACCACAAGATGGAGTAAACCAAAACTCTGAACGAAACTGTTTCACTGTATATGTAACATAGTTGCTATAGAGCAAGATTCACAGGAGAAACTGATTTTGGACAAGACATACCAAGTCTTTTGTTAGTTAAAAAATTATGCTCCACAAAATTATTTTTTTATGCTAATACATGGGAATAGAAGAAACCTTAGTATTATCTAATCTCTGAAACAGGTTAATATCCTATAAATTACTATTTTTAATATTAAAACAGACAGGATATTACATAATAAGTTACACATTTATGAACATACATATTTTAATTACCATAGTGTATATGTTTAATGGCCTAGAAAGGGAACAATATAAAGAGTATTTAATACAACCACATTAGCATTGGGAATTAAGGAGGGTAGGCTGCTATTTGCTTTTTTCATATTTAAAAATAAATTTATATTATGATTTTTAAAATTCAGTACTTTGTACTAAAATTTTCAGAATTTCATGTAGGGCAGTATGTATACTTGATTTTATCCTTGCAATGGGATTTTTCTTTTTTTGTTTTTTCCAGACAGAGTTTCTCTGTTTAACAGAGCCCTGGCACTCCTGGACTCTTTGTAAACCAGGCTGACCTTGAACTCAGCGAGAGCTGCCTGCCTCTGCCTTTTAAGAGCTGGGATTAAAGCATGCGCCACCATGCCTGGCCTTGCTATGGGATTTTAACCTATAAGTGCTCCCCTCCCCCCCCCCAAAAAAAAAAACCAAAAAAAAAAAAAAAACCAAACCAAAACCCAAATCAATCTTCTAAAAGAAAAAAAAAAATATTGCCTGTGTGTTGGTGGGGGGACACAAGTATATTTGTGTGTGTGCAAAAGTCACACACAACTTTTGAGAACAACTTTTGAGAGTTGTTTCTCTATTGTGGGGTCTGGGAATCCAGCTCAAGTTCTTAGGTTTACATGGTGAGTATTTGGCACTGAGCTGCCTCGATAGCCCTGTTCCTGTTTGAGACAGTCTCACTTTGTAGACCAGTCTGTTTTAGAACTTGAGATCTTCTTGCTTCAACTTCTGAAATGCTGGTATTATAGGTATATGCTACCATGCCTGACTAATACATATATATGTCTGTGTGTAGTTTTTTTTTTTTTCCAATTCCCATTAATTTTGGCTCTTGGGGCAATGTTATCTTTAGGCTAAAAGAATATTAAAGTCTCTGCTACTATGAAATTGTATTATTAGCATGCTGAGGACATTGTAATAATGCAGTTATAGTTAGTTGAATTTGTTTTTTAAGTTATTTAACCTTATAAAAATGCTATTGACATAAAAATATATAGTGAGAAAGTTTGAGTTAATGGGGAGAGTGATACACAACTTGGGCAGAAGTCCTGCTCTAATTGTCACTGGACCTCCCCAGAATAAACTGCCTTTCGATGACCAGGGCGAACTGAGTGAAATCGTCATGGACAGATACGGGGCAGACAATTTCTTAAGTGCTCAGATACATCAAGTTAGTGTGTCTCTTCCTATGCATAACCTGGATTTGTTGTCCTTTTCCTTTCAGCCCTGCTGCTTTCCCCTTACAATGTGCTTCATCATCAAATACAAACAGTATCATACTACTTGAGAAGGTATTGTCTAAAACAGTTTTCATTTTTGTTGTTGATTTATTATGAGACACAGCTTTGTTAGTTGACCCAGGCTTCTCTTGAACTCACTGAGTAACCCAGGCCAATCTTGAAATGGCAATTCTCTTGCCTCAGCCTCCGAAGTACTGGGTTTATGTAGGTGTATAGTAACTGGTTTTAAAAAATTTCAATTAATTGTGACTAGTGGTTTATAATAAAATGTTTTTGGTAAATAGGTTAATTACATCAGGTTTTTTTTTTCCTCTCATTTTTTTTTGCCATTTCTTTTCTCTTGCTAAATGAGAATGTGGGATTATTGGCTCTGCCAGTGAATGCATATTTTTTCAATATGCCAGTATGGTGATCTACTACTGTGGTCCTGGTGCTTGAGAGGCTACAGCGTAAGTGTCTCCAGTTGAGGCTAGCTTGGGCTACATAACAGACAAGTCCAGGTTGGCTACTTAAAAAGACCCTGTCTCCAGAAAGTAAAACAGTCCTCCCACTTTTACCTATGGATCTGCAATGAAGAAAGCTTCACAACTGATCATTAAGTTATAATATATGTCTCTTTTCAGGATCCAACTCCCAAAGAGAAAATACCACACTTGGAAGTGGAAGACCCTCCTTTATCAGATACTGAAAAGAATGCACAGAATAGTGTGTTGAGAGCATCTCTGCCAGTGAAAAAGAGTGATCCGTTCCAGAAAGAACAAGATCATCTGGTAGAAGAGGTCAGAAAAAGATTATTAATAAATATACTTATGTATTTGTGATTTTCTAAGTGGAGTTGGGATCAGAAATGGAGTAAGTACAGTTAACTGTTGACAAATTTGAGGTAAGAAAAGTAACAGTAAAAATTAAGGCTATGGTTTAAGAGATTATTCAGTGGTTAAGAGCATGTACTGCTTTTGCAGAGGACCTGGGTTCTTTTCCCAGTAGTCATGTAGTACCTCACAACTGCTTATAACTGAAAATCCCGAGATTTGATGTTTTCTTCTGGCCTCTTTAGCCACTGCATGTCTATACATGCACATACACATAATAGAAATAAAAGTATATGTAAAATGTAGGCTAAAGTAAAATCAGTCTTTTTTAAAAAGTAAAAATGGCTTTCTTAGAGATATATTCAGTTAAGATTGATACATTATTTATTGTTACTTCCCATTCTATAAATATTCAACATATAATACATATCTGGTAGTGATAAACATTGCATAAATTGTTATGCAAATGCATTTAATGATTATAGTCATTTGAATACTTTCTTCATGTTTCTTAGCTTTTTTTTTTTTACTATAAAAACTAGGACTGGAGAAATAGCTCAGCCATTGAAAGTTAGGCTCACAACTGAACAATAAAAACCAAGATTTTGTGATACCATTGAGTGAAAGTTTTGTTGACTTTGTTATCTAAATATTTCAAAGGTGATTAAAGTCATTGATATCAATTCATTGATTTTTCTATAAATTTTTTATAGTTTTAATATTTGTATGTTTGCCTACAGTATGGTAATATGTACGTACATATGTATGTATTGTTTGTATGTGTGTATGTATGTGCACCGTGTGTGTTGGATCCACTGGAACTGGAATTAGATAGTTGTGAACCACTATGTGGGTGCAGGGAGCTGAACCAGGTTCTTTGCAAGAGCAGCAGATGCTCTTAACTTCTGAACCTTCTCTCTAACTCTTGATTTTTTTTTGATTTATATATGTGTGGGTTTTTTTTTTTTTTTTTGTTTTTTTTTTTGTTTTTTGTTTTTTGAGACAGGGTTTCTCTGTGTAGCATTGGCTATCCTGGACTTAATTTGTAGACCAGGCTGGCCTTGAACTCACAGAGAACCGCCTGCCTCTGCCTCCCAGAGTGCTGGGATTATAGGCTTGCGCCACTGCACCTGGCTGTGTGAATGTTTTACCTGCATCTCTGTATATGCATCACATGTGTGCAGTGCCGAAGAAGTCAGAAGAGAGTGTTAGATTCCTTGGAAGCAGAGCTACTGATGGGTATGAGCCATCATGTGGGTCCTGGGACACAAACCTGGGTCCTCAGCAGGAGCAACTGCTCGTAACTGCTGAGCCTTCTCTTTGGCTCCCCCAATTTTTGTTTTTTAGATGAAAAGTTATTTTATTAAATACCCTTATTTGTGTGTGTTTGTGCGTGTGTGTGCCTCTCTGTCCAAGTAGAGGACAACTTTGGCTGGTTCTCTCTTTCCCATGGGTCTCTGGAATCCAATTCAGGCTGTTGCAGTGCAGCAAGTGCCTTTACCTGGTAAGCTGTCTTGCCAGCCTCTGAACGGATTTCCTCAGGTAGTCCTGCTTTTTTTTTTTTTTTTTTTTTTTTTCAGTCAAGTATCTTGATCAGTTACACAAATTAAATAAAGTTTATACAAATTAAATATTCAGGCCTTTCACTGTTGTTATCTTGATTGTTTTATACTCTAGCATTATTTTAATTAATGTTTGGTTAAGCAATCACAACATATTACAATTTATTTCTGAGTGACTTAAAAATAGGTTTTAGATTCATTTGGGCTTTAGCATCTCTTATCAGTTCCAGCCCTACTAAATTAGCATTGTACAATATCAGAGAAGGTGATGAATGCTAGTTATTGTCCTGTTTGTAATGAGACTAATTTTATGGTTTCCAAATGCTTCTAAGTCTGATATTCTGTTAATTTTCTTTATTGACTGTACACTAAAAAAATAATCAGTCCTTTTAAAATTGGAATTCCCTAATTATGGAAAGCAAAGCACACATTTTCAGTTCATAGAATTTAGATTGCATTTGGGAGGTGGGCGCAGGAGGATCAGGAATTCAAAGTCATTCTCTGCTAAGTAGTGAATTCTAGGCAATGCTAGGCTATGTGAGACCCTGTCTCAGAAAACCAAACAAAATAAAAAAAAATGGGCCTGAGAGATGGCTTAGTAGTTAAGAGCACTTGTTGCTCTTCTAGTGGACCTAGGTTCAATTTCTAGCATCCACAGTTCGGCTTACAGCCATCCATAACTGCAGTTTGAGAGGGTCCAATATGCATATGCTGCATACATACATGCAGGCAAAACATTCATACACTTAAAAGGAAAATAACTATAAAAAATGAAAAAAGAAAAAACTCAAAAACGTAATAAAAAGAATTTAGATTAACAAGGGAATAGGTTGGAATAGAAGAAGAGAATCCTAAAATCTCATGAAACTGAAAGTAAAATGAATATCTATCTGTCTATCTGGTGGTTTGAGGCAGAGATCCTTGAACTGATGGTTTTCCTGTCTTTGTTTCAGCAGTACTGGAATTACAGGCACACATCACTGTGGTCAGTGAAGTGAACTTAGTTTTAATAGTGTTTGTGGCAGGGGATTTTAATATTTTTATTTCAAGAAGCCATCTGGGGCTAGAGAGATGGCTTAGCAGTTAAGAACACTTTCTGTTCTTACAGAAGACCAGCGTTTGATTCCCAGCACTTACACGGCTGCTCACAACTTCCAGTAACATGGGATCCAGTGCCCTCTTCTGACCTCTGTGGGTACCAGGCACATACATGATGTACATACATACATGCAGTGAAAATACTCATACACCTACAAAAATTAATTAAAAAAGAAAAGAGGAAAGGAGGCACTCTGCTTTATTGGGCTAATTTGTATAGTTTTGGGGTTTTGTTTTGTTTATTCTTATTAATCTGAAGAGTTTTAGTTTGCATGCTGTTTACTTTCCAGTGGGTTAATAGAGAGTACAAGTTTCTTGTTATACATTTTCTGTTCCTTATTTCTTTGCTAATTTAGATCTGATAAGAATATTTCTGACAAAGAAGTGTGCACCATGTTCTGCTTGGTAATGGAGGTGCTAAGAGCAGCTGGTGGATGCTTTTAATACTAGCAGAAGTAGGGGTAATCTCTGAGTTTTGGCCAGACTGATACTGTCTCAAAGCAAAAACAAAGAAACAACAAACCTAAAAGTCTTACTGTGCAAATGGACTGTATGAAGAGTGTGCTTGCTTAAAATTGTTATTTTGATGAATCCAGAGTTGTCAGAACCCAGGTCACTGTAGTTAGAGTGGACTTAAGTCTTCCTGAGGATAGCCTGGAACATGTCTTTAATCCCAGCACTTGGGAGGTAGAGGCAGTTAGATCTCTGAAAGTTCGAGACCAGCCTGGCCTACACAATGAGTCCCAGGACAGCCAGGGCTACACAGGGAAACTCAGTCTTGAAAAAAAAAAAAATGAGTACAACAAAAAATAGTCTTGTGCTCCACTTGTAGCAGGGTGACACCTGGACTACCTGAGGAATATCAGGGAGCTTCTTTGTTGCGATTAGCTGGTAATGGGCTGCTGACTGCTATGGTTCCTACTGGAGTTCTTGTGGTATTTCTATCTGGCCCCATCATTTTTCTTTCATTTCTTTTTGTTTGTTTGTTTCCTGTTGCAGGTTGCCAGAGTGGTTCTATCCGATTCACCACAGATCTCTGAAGGAAAAGAAATAAAATTGGAGGAACTACTGGACACTCTGATTTCTAACCCTTTCTTAACCAGGAAACAAATTCCCCGAACTCCAGAAAACTTGAGTAAGTTAATGCTTTCTGTCTGATTTCCTACCATTAGACTCATGATCTGACAGTTCTTTGGAAACAATTTAAAACTCTATTTCCTGTTTAGTTGGCAATGGCTCTTTTTTTTCTGATATAACAGTTATGTTGAAGTTTTCAGCATGATCACTCACATTGATGTAACAGTCTTAATCAGTAATGTTTTGTGACTTCAATGTATCTATATAGAAGCATAATCAGTCCTCATATTATAATCTTGTTTTGGTTGTGTTACTTGGCTATTTTTCTGCAAAATATTTTATTTGGCCACTTGAAAAAAAAATTCTGGGGCCAATTGAGCCATCTTCCAAGTGGTAGAAGGAGAGAATAGACTTGTGGAAGTTGTCCCCTGACCTCCATGCATGCACCATAGCATGTGGGTGCTCTCCCATGCACATATTCCTGCACATGCACACTAAACAAGCAAACAAAGAAATAAGGCAGTAGATGTCCTCAGTGTCAGGTCAGACTTCTATGTTTAGGGAATTTTGCTTGCCAGTCAGTAGTCATAAGCAGCCACCACAGAGCATATATCTTTGCCCCATGGCAAAAGCAATAATAGCATCAAATGCTTCCCCGAAGTGCTTGCAATTGCTGTAGGCAAACCTCTGATACTTACTTCCTTCTTTAACCAATGCAGGTCGTTTGTCTTGAATGATTGAATACAGTTTCTTCTTTGCTGCTGATTTAATTCATAGCTGGGACAGCATAGGTTGGTGTTCTTCAGATGAAAACCTGTGAATTAAATAGGATCCTGCAGTGTGTTTTTCTTTAAAAAAAAAAAAAAAAAACAGTATATTTAAGAGCCTTGCTCATTTGTTGACACATTGTTTATAGCCATTTCTATGCTGCCGTGTCAGATTTGAGGAGTTGTGGGAATGCAAGTGGTTGGCAGAGCCTAAAATATTAGTATCTAATCTTTTATATAAAAAAATCTGTCCATTTCTGGGATAGATAGACAAGAGGATATGTTTTGCATGCATGCAATCACATATATCAGCAGCGGGGACATGTATATACATGTAGGCATGCTTGTATATCAGAAACAGCAGTTGTTATGTGTCCTGACTGGAATAAGTTTTCTGATGTTCAGGTTGTCATGCTGTTGCCATATGTATGGAACTTGGACTGAGGCAGTAGCTTTATTTTTAGCACTAGAATAAAGTATTTTAATTGCATGTCTGTGTTTGGGAATGTGTAAATAGTTGTTTCTTTTCCCCCACCTTAATTAGTAACTGAAATCAGGAGCTCTTGGAGAAAAGCTGTTGAAAGTGAAGATAACAGAAGTTCAGATGGGATTCTAGTGGATGCCCAAGCTACAGAAGTGTCATCAGAGTCTTCATCTATATTGAAGAGTCAGAGGACATTTAACCTGGCTATTTTTTCCCCAGAATCTGATTGCTCTTATTTGCCCGAGGAGAAAGCTGTTTCTGATCAGCTCAAAGTTGTGCCTCAGAGATATTTGGGGACAAGTCAGATCAGTGAATCCCCAACACAGCTTGATGAGTCAGACTTGATGAATAAGAAAATGATTTGTAAGGAAGATTTAGAATGTACAACCCCCAGGCTTTCAGAAACCAGACAAAAGGAACCATTCTCCCTTGATGTGGGCAGAGGACTAGATGAGATGTGTACAAGTGAAAAAGACTGTGTTCGAATATTGGAACACTCACAAGCTTCTTGCAGTGAACCTTCCACACATAAAACTCTGCTGTGGGACTCCTTTCAGAGGCTGAGTGGCATTGGCATATTACATGAAACTCTTCCAGAAGAAGTTGGTCACCTAAGTCTTAATAGCTCTACTAGTTCAGAGACCACTCCTCAACTGGAACGAAATAGTTATGTGCACAGTGATGCCTTTCCAGATGATGTGGGAAAAAGACAAGCAACCCCAGAATTAGATTCCAATTTACAGGCTATTCTCAGGAGTTATGAGGTTCTAAAGAAATCTCTTAACAAAATAAGAAAAGAATTTAACCAGTCTAATCCCAAGACACTTGGACAATACAAAGTAGAATTGAGCCCTGTAGCCAAAGACATGCCAGCAGATGATACACAATCTATTTTGGACACCGAGAATTTGTTTATTGACTACACAGAGCCATCTTCCCACATGTCCCTTGATGAAAAAACACAGTCTGTATCACCACTAACTAAAGTTTCTTTGATGGAGCAAAAATTGAGGACCATGTTACCATGTAGTCCTGGGGAATTTCTGCCTAATTTAAAAGGTAAGAGTTAACCAAACCTGAGCTTGGATCCTTTTTGAAGCATTCTCTTAATTTTTTTTTCCCCGCTAATATAGAGAGAGTAGCATTGTGGTACCTACCACGGGCTAGCCACAAGTTCACTATATAGTCCAGGCTGGCTTCAGATTTACCATGTAGTCCAGGCTATTTCTAATCTTCTGTTCACTTAACTTTTCATAATATAGTATAAAGTGAATGTTGCATGATCCTGGTGGGTAATCTGACAAAAATATAATCTTTATACCTCATGTTAGGGTAGAGGACCCCTCACTTTGTAGGTACTTTCAGAAGCCTTACGATTATGTACATCTATGGAGAGAGACAGACTATATCTGTTCTTCCAGATATAGTTACATTTTGAGATACTGGGGTTAGAATTCTAACACCATGTATTGGTGGGCACAGTTCAGCCTGTAACAGTATGAGTAATTGAAGCCAAGTGTTCCACATTTTATTAATCACGTGTTTGAAAGCTGTATAATAAAGAATTACAATTCTTGGTTTCTTAGGATGGATTTAGGTCTTGTAATATAGATTCCTTTCAATCACTTTGGTTTTCTCGTGATAATTAAACACTTTTTTTTTTTTTAAAGTATTCCTAGAATGCATTGATTTTTAGAGAAAAGGCATTTCAGTAGAAATGGTAATTTTATTTATTATTTATTAGTGAGTCTTGCATAAAGTGGGGCTTCTAAATCAAGGAATTTGCTACTACTTGAAATTGTTCCTACTTTTCTTTGTAATATTTATTGTCCTCTTTTAAAAATCAATTTTTTCAGAAGAAGAAATCTCAAGTAAGAGCCTTGAAACAAGAGATTCTCTGATTTGAGAAGATGAAGCATTTTCCAGTTAATTTAGCTGTGATGCACTTATACTGAAGCCTTGTTGCGCCACTGCAGCTGATTTGTACACACACATTGGAAGTCTTAAATTGTTTCCAAGGTCAAAGAAGTTCTGAATGTACTTTGGCCTCAATGTTTAGGTGTTTAGGTCTGTTTTGGTAAATATGAGGTTGAAATGTGAACTTTTATGAACAGCAAATGTCAAATTTTGGGAATTCTTAGAATAATCTTGTAACATAAGTAAATGGCAAATATTATAGTTTTGTTAACATAAGGCTGAGCTTGTAATCTAATAGCCTCATCTTTCACTTTAGAGAAATCATCTTATTGGATCTTTATGTAATATTCTGGTACTAACACAAATGAGCAGAGTATAGTGCCTTTGGATATATATTCAAAGCAACACATTTTAAAGTTTCTAAAACTGTAAGCAGGTTTAATGATTCCAAGTATATTGATCCTGCAGAATGATTCTGATGGAATAAAATTCATGTGATACGTGCAGGCAAGGTGCAGTGAATTGAAAAAAAGGGGGGTGGGGGAAGGTAGATGACCACACTGTATTACTTAGTCTAGAGTGAGGATTTAATTTGTTTATATTTAACAAGCATGTAAATGAAAAATTCACAAATCTGTTTTACTGTTGTCTGTGGGTGGTATGTGGTGGGTGTTGTTTTGGGGAAAGCAAGTTTTTTGTTACTTGCTGCTAGACAAAGTTCCACAGTGCCTACAGAACCTTCTAGAAGCAATATGCTATAGAAAGTATATTGCTGTCAGAGCCCTTCATTATGAGAGTCAAAATCTCAACTGGATATGTTGGATTTATAAGAGTCCCTAAAATTTAGGTCATCTGAATGTTCCTGACATGATTATTTCCTGGTTCAGCACCATGAACATAATCTCAAATTTGTTACTCTCCAAAAGTACTTATAACTTAGTACTTTCAGTGCCTTCCTATCCAGTATCTCCCTTTGATGACTAGGAACTACTCTGATCATTTCAGGTCCTTCCTTAAAAGCCTTAAATGATAGTTCATTGTAATCGTAGAATTGGATTCTGATTTAAAGACAAAGCTCTTCTACTTAGACTTCTTTCCCTCTCCCATTGGAATTGGTACTTACCTTGCCCTTCTAGCTCATCTCAGTTCATTCATTATTTTGACTTGAAAAATTTAATAAGTAACCTTGTTATACCAGGTAGAGTTTTTAAAATTTTATTTTCACATGTGAGAATGTTTGCCTGCGTGTCTGTGTACCTTTTCAGTGCCTGGTGCCCATGGATACCTGAAGAGGGTGTCAGATCCCTTGGACTGGAGTTACAGACTGGTATTGGCTTCCATGTAGATGGTGGAACTTGAACCTGGGTCACAAGATGAGGAGTCAGTACTCTTAACCACTGAGGCACTCTCCAGCTCTTTATAGTTCCTTTAAAGCCCAGAACAGGACTTAATCAAAACAAAAACAGCTCAGAGCAAATCTCATCTTCCACACTGAAGTCTTAATCTTAATCTAGGATCTTAAGACCCTAGATCCATGGTCTTATGTCTTTTCTAAAGTATATTGTTTAACTGGTTTGTTAGGTGAGAGAGAGGGGGAGGGGATCTTGCTGTGTTTGTTCAGGTAAGCTTCAGTTGACAGCATTCTTTCTGCTTCGGCCTCCCCAAGTGCTGGAACTATAGATGTTTGCCTAGCTTTTACTTAGTATTCGACCTCTCCCCCCCAATTGAAAATGTGATCTCTGATCACAGCAGCTGTATACATATTTAGATACCTATCTTCTTACCTATGCGTGTGCGCACACGCACACGCACACACACACACACACACACACACACACACACACACCCCAGGGGTCACACTTCATTGTTAAGTACTGGAATTAAGTACTGTGCCTCCAGGACAGAATAAAAGAAGTGGTAAATAAGTAGTTTTTCCCTTGGTTATATAGAGTACATCTTGTTTTGTTCACAAAGATAAAAAGCTGTGCAAACAGACTTCTGCATTAAATAAAACTTTAGAGCAGGTATGTCCTAATTACTGTGGGCTTGTGAGTGCTCAGTATGTACTCTCAGCCTCTAAAACCTAACTGTTTAAAGAGGGGAAGCCCTTAATGTTGCTAAGCATGAAAATGTTACCAAGTAAGATAAAGAATAGTTGAAGTTAAAAGAGCTTTTGGGGGCCAGGGAGTAAGCTGGAAAAAATATACCTAACAGGCATTTTGAAACCTTATTTTTCTTAGCCATAAGGTATGACATCAATATCTAAAGTGTAAACATGTTTCAAGGCATTTAATGTGTGAAGACAGTATAAAGTTCAGATTCCTGGTTGCTCTAAAGATCATCATTTTATGCACTGAGAGCTGGCAAGTTCATGCTCTTAAGTAGGAAATGTCTATCCATAAGTGTTTTTTACACATTACTGTCTAGAATATTCAGTGTTTTACCACCTGTCTGGAATTCCCTATATTTAAAAAGAATTATGCCTCGAACCCACCACTGAATTATCACATACCAAAGTACAACTTGATAGACTTGATTTTAAAAAAGTCTTAGTGATATAGGTAAGAGTATTTTGTTACTGGTATTTTAATCACTAGAATCTAGATTTACAGTTGAGGCAGGGTTTTGCTATGTATGTAGCTTTGGCTAGCCTGGAATTCCTTGCGAAGACCAGGCTGGCCTAAGTGAGTGATTGGTCTTTGTCCCTGCCTCCAAGCTCTGGCATTTTAAGGTTGTGATGTCATGTCCAGTTTATACCATACATTTAGTAGCTTCTTGCTTTTCATGGGTAGGGAACCTGTCATCACACCTACTGTCAAGTGTTTAATAAAATTTTAAATTATGTACCACTTGATTTGAGTTGATCAGAAGTCTCTGCTCTAAAATAGACTATTTAACAGCCTATAAGCCATTACTAGAACTGGAATGGGGCAGTTTATGTTTGTATTTTTACCATATTAGGAACCTCAGAATCCTTTCTCACAAAATAATCTACAAATCTAGTCATTTTCATGCAATTTTCAGGTAAATACAAATGGCAAAAAATACCAATTCTTCAGCCTTGGTTTCTTCAGTTTATAGATTTGGAATTATATGAAGAAATAATCTATACCTAAAATAGTAGGAATTTTTTTTTTTCTTTTGAAGCAAGACCTTACTATAGCCCAGGCTATCCTTACATTTATGGTAATCATCTTACAGACAATGAGCTGCCTAGAAAGGTTTTAATTTTTTGTTCTTTAAAATAACTGATGTTAATGAAGGTAGAGGGGCAATGGTTAGGAGGCACAAAAGGTCTGGTCAGAATGCCTTCAATGTCTCACCTTAGTAAGTCATGCCAGTTTCCTTATGTATCAGTGACAGAAGTAATCAGCCCTCAGGTTGTGAAGAAAAATACGAGCATGTCAGGTACTTAATACCTGGCATTTAAAGGGCTCAATGGGTAGTGGTCAAAGCTAACCAGGTGCATTCTGGATGCCTTGTTTTAATCTTTTTGGCAATCTTATATAGTGGTAGTCTTACTGTATCCACAAACAAGAGAACAAGCATAGTGAAATCAAATGTCTTGTCCACTTCAAAAGGATTAGAACTGGGATTTGAACCCACAGATTCAGCTGTGCTAGACAGGCACTCTATTACTGAGCTATATATCCCAGTTTTTATGTGCTGCTGGTGTCTGAACCCAGGATGTTGTGCACTGCTAGGCAAGCCATCTGCCAGTTGAGCTACACTATATAAATATTCAGTACTTGAATTCAATTTTAAATATTTTTATGTGTGTGGATATTTTGCCTGGTGATTGATTGCAGAGGCCATAGAGGGTGTTGGATCCCCTAGAACTGGAGTTACAGATGGCTGTGAACTGCCAGGCTGGGACCTGAACCCAGATATTCTGGAAAAGCAGACAGTGCTCTTAACCACTGAGTCACCGCTCCAGCCCCTTGAGTCTTAACCACTGCTGCCATCGCTACCAAGCACTGCCGGAGTGATGGAGGCCAAACTAGCAAATTGAGAAGTTTGCCAGTTAAACAATACTTGTGGAAAAACAATTTTTTTACTACTAGTACCTTCAAATTATTTCAAACAACATTTTAAACTGCCAATAATAAATGTTTATTCATGATTGAAACCAAGGAGGATTTAGAAATACATTTTAATACCTTGCTGATAAAATAGTAACATTCCATCTTTGTGATCTGATAATACAGAAGATATCTGCTTTAATATTATCTATTATAATCAGGTAACCGAGACATACACAAACCACCTACTTTAGTGTTACGCCACACCAACTTTTCATAAAGGCCGTTTTGAAGCTCTCTAACTGGATAGCTGAGCAAACAGCGTCCAATGCTAAGACTAGGGAAGAGGTGGGATAGTAAGCACACGTTTCAAGGCTCACTTTTAAGCACATGACATGAATATCAAAAGCAAAGGATGCAAAAAAAAATGTAATTCAGCATTTTACTAAAGAGCATTTGGCATTATTCAACGCATGAGGAGGCTGTGCTTGGGGCCATCTACTCTCTCTAGCTTCTCAAAGTGTTTCCTGGCATTACGAATGTTGATTAGAGTAGCTGCAGAAGGGATGGATGGATCTGACATGACCACCATCACATACGTGTTTGACGTGAAGATGTCGATGAAGGCAGCGAAGTTAGAATTCCTCACTTCCATGCTCTGGAAAGAAGCAGCCAATTTGCTGCAGCTTAGCTTGAACTGCTTGATGATGTTGCTGATCTTCTCAAAGCGGTGCACATCTCGCTGCTCTTTGCACTGGTAGTGGGAAATCACCAAGAACGTAGCTCTCTCGAACAGCAGAACTTCATCAGCCTCAATAATCTGGGCAAAATTCCTTAGGTTCATCTCCAGCTGCTGAACGTTGGGGATCAGCTGATAGACGATGCTGGACCAGGCTTTGTAGAGCGTCTCATCCCAGATGGAGGTTCGAAAACAAGCGCACTCCAGGGGGCGAGACAAACGCCTCAGGTCTTCCTCTCGCTCTTTAAAAATCAGGTCACGTTGATCTTCCTGAACCAGATCCATTTTGTGCACCAGGCAGAAGATTTTGGCATCAGGTGAATTCTGGAGGATGGCTTCCAGACACGACTGGTAATAATGCATGTCTTTTTCCAGTTCGCGGCTCTCTACGTCAAACACGTATATCAGAACCTCCACATTACGGAAGATGTTGTCCCGCTGGCTGGTGAAGTAATTCTCCATAAAGGTGTCCTGGCCGCCACAGTCCCACAGGTTCAGCACCAGGTTCCCCAGGAATCGGACGTGGGAGTGCTCCACATCGATGGTGGCACCCAGGCGCCTGGTGTCGCGCGCAATATAATTTGCAAAGATGATCGACCTCATGCTGGTCTTCCCCGACCCGCTCTTCCCCATCAGCAGCACCTTTTTCTTCATGGCTGTATTTGGCATCACCTGCCGGCGTCGCCACGGACTGGGCCTGAGGCTCGGCCTACCGGGGGACCGACCGAGGATGGGGGCGGCGGCTCAGGGGGGCTGGGCGCCAGGCACCGCCGGGCAGCGGGAGGCTGAGAACGGGAGCTCCGGGCAGGAGAGACCGCAGGAGAGACCGCGGCGAGGCGAGTCCGCAGAGCACAGAGCCCGAGGCAATGGCTACAG